TGGGATCGAGTTCCACTTCGGGCTCCCTGCTCAGCGGGGAGCCTGCTTCTCCCTCTGCCTGCCACTCGCCTTGCTTGTGCTGTCTCTCTTGCTAGCTCTCTCTCTGTGTCAAATAAATAAATGAAAATCTTAAAAAAAAAAAAAAGGTCTCAGTAGATAGAAGTATTTGTCCAAAAGAGATGTGTTCCCAAGGCCAGATTGCCTGCTTACAAACAAAAGACAGCAGCTGATAGCTATTGGTAGAAGCCTAATTTTGTTTTTGGATTTCATGAGCAGATTTATATAAACTAGCAAACAAATTATTTATTTTAAAACTTCAGGCCATTTGTTTCATTTTTGTGCCCTTGATTCTGAACAGCCTCTTGATAATTGCTTCTTAATAAGAGCTGGAGCTTCTGGGTTGGTGACAGTGTAGTGACTGTGGGAGAGTGACCTGCTGGGAGAGGGCGTAGAGGCTGTGCGCCCCTTCCCCATACCTGCCCTATGCGTCACTTCCATCTGGCTGCTCCTCAGTTACTAATAGCTGGTAGCTGGTATCAGGATTTTTCTTCTTCTTCTTCTTTTTTTTTTTCTAATTGTGTTATGTTATTTTTAAGTATAAAGACTATCAGTCACATCACCTACAGACCATGTTACCTACTGCTCTGGCTGCCAGTCTCTTGTCTGTCTCCTAAGCAATGGTGAGGCAGATACCCTTTCCACGGGGAAGAGAAATGATGGTTTGTTGCCTTTGCCAATAACAAAAATGTTGGAGAGCCCGTGGCAAAGCTCTTGTATTGGCATCTTTCATGTGAACTACATCAGAAGAACCAGGGTGTCTATCTCTGTGATCACACCAGTTCTTCCCAGGTTAGCACCTCCGGTCACCATACACAGATTACCAGTGTCTAACTTGATGACATCAGTCATCTTTCCAGTCTCCAAATCAGTCTGAATGGTGTCCTTCACCTTGAGGGGATCAGGATAGCAGATGGTGTGAGCATCATGGGTCACCAGGTGAGGGATTCCTTTTGTCCCCACAAAGATCTTCATTTTGCATAGCTTCTACTTGGCCTCCTCAGGTGTACTATGATGAACAGCAGTGTGACTCTGTGTCCTACATCAGACGGAAATTCTCCCCAGTCTTGTCAGTGCTGATGACATCCATAAAATCAACTGGGTAGATTATATCAGTTCGGACCTTGCCATCAGTCTTACTAAAACACTGCATATAGATCTTCTTGACTTTATCTCCTGTTAGGGTATGCTTAAGTCTGTTCCTTAGGAAAATGATGAGAGGGAGACATTCTCTGTTTATGGGGACCAGTAGATGGATGAGGAGCAAACACACCAGTCGGTTTATCCAGCATCCAGTGCTTTGGAGCCGTCACATGCTTCAGATACTTCTTGGGACCACAAGCCATGGCTGTGCTAGGGACAAAAAGAGAGCACAATTGAGTTGAATTATTGGGTGAACACACCCAACTGGTGATCAGAATTGAATTGGTACCGGAATCCTATTTCCCAAAATTATTCCATTATATAATGAAATACAGATACCTAACCTCATAATCAGCTTTTTTATTAACTAAGAATAAGGACTCATAGACTTTTATTTCTGGCCATGATGGAATAATAGGAACCGAATCTCCCTTCTCCCTGGAAACAACAAAAGGACAGTGTAGGCAATAAAAGTGACCCTGAAAGAAAGGAGACAAGCTAGTGTTTGTGAATAATTAGACAAAATGGGAAATTCTGTCTTGTTTGCTTACCTACACAAGCCTCGTATCTTCAGATGTTATGAGCACAAGCACCTGTACTCTCCAGGCAGTCTCTTTATAGATGAGGAATCTGATGCCAAGGATCTTAGTCACGGACACACCGCTAAAATGTGTTACAAAGATTTGAACTCGAGACTGTCAGACTCCAGTGCCCGGGCCCTAAACCACTCTATGTAGGGACCTATTAATGAGAGGTTTCACAGGAGGCTAAAACCTACCTACCAGTGCATGACTTCTGGGCAGGCTATTAGTGCAAATCCTGGCTAACAGCTACATTCATAGCTGCCTTCAGAGCTGGTACAGAAGGTCTCACAACCACTGTTGAACCATTCATTATGCTGCATTCATCAATGGCTAAGAAAAATATCACCTTCAAAAAAAAAAAAAGGTCTGTACCAGTGTGAGGAGGCATATTAAAATGGCTCTGAGAAGCCCAGTTATAAAATTGGATAGTTTCCATTATTTTTTTTTTTTTTTTAAGATTTTATTTATTTATTTGACAGAGACAGCGAGAGAGGGAACACCAGCAGGGGGAGTGGGGGAGGGAGAAGTGGGCCTCCCCCCAAGGAGGGAGCCCGATGCGGGACTCGATCCCGGGACTCCAGGATCATGACCTGAGCCGAAGGCAGTCGCTCAACCAACTGAGCCACCCAGGCGCCCTGCCAATACATTCTTTTGTTAAACTAAGCATTTGGTCTCGATTTTCTGAAAGTTGGTTTGAGGATTACTTGATGAATTGTTTTGGTTCTGTGAACTCTTTCAAAAAAATTTTCCCTCCTGCCCAACTGACCTACTTAAGTGAGTGTTCAGATAATTGAAGGAGCTCTTGCTGTCTTGCTCCTAAACAAACCATCAGCGTTCCCATGCTCTCTTTGGACTACCATCATATTTCTGTTTCCTCAGAGGGAGCACTGAGGGCCATTTGTCTGGAGTCCAGTACGGGAATCTGGCTGAACAAGCTGTGATTTGATTGAACTACAGAGTCAGTTTTAATGAGTTTTGTAATCCTTTGCATTCATGGACTAAGCATTTTAAAAATAGCAGATTAAAGATTCCGTGCTGTACCAGAGACACTATAAATACCAAACTGGCATCTCAAAATATATTTTGTAGACAATAACTGAAGTAAGATTTTCTGTGTTAAAAATAGGAAAATTCTTTTCTAGAAAAAAAAAAGGAACATTCTAAAGCAGCCGTTGCTTACAACCCAAGACACATCACAGATCATAAAACTACGTTTTTTGGATTAAAGTTAATGAAAAACATGTAAGTTAGTGTTTTTCTCTCAGATAGCTTTTATTCATATTGCTTTTGCCACAGTCCAGTTATTTATGTTAGAATTCCCCGCCTCCAGGTTCTATAGGAATCTCCCATGCCTTTGGTTTCTTTAGAGGTAATCCCTGCCTCTCATGTTCTTTGTATCCTTCTTGTGACATCTGTCAAATATGTCTTGCCTTATAGACCTTGTATACACAACTCACCTTCCATACTAAACTGTTGGTTCCTGGAGAGGGGAGGGGCAGCCTTACAGAGCTTTGCATTTTCCATAGTGCATTCCACAGAGTAAGCACTTAATATGTATTTGTTGAATCTTTTTGAATGAATGACTGTTGTCTTTCTTAATTAACATATTTGTGCTGCTTATGTATGAGGCACTGTGCTGGACATTGAAAGGGAGGCAAAGATGTGTAATGTATTTGTAGGTGCTACAAAATCTTTTTGGAATTAGATGAGAAATAAAATAGCATGGTCTACATAGGGAAGCCAGGCACATGAAAAAGTAACAGTATAAGGTATTAAAGGGTCTAGTGAGGCAAAACATGAACTTTGTTTTGAATGACTATAAGTTAATCAAAATATGAAGGGGAGCAGGGTTTTACATGTTAGCAGTGTAAAAGTTCCAATCTTTTTATTTTGTCTCTTATTGTACTCCTATTGCACATCCTGGAAGATAGGGTTCTTTTGAGATAGCCATCTTTATGATTTCCTGACTGGCCAGCTAGGGTTGCCAGTACTTTTGTACTTTCCCCCTTCCTGACTTCTGCTCCTTCTAAGTGGTGGGTGTCTGAGTCTGTTCCCACATGTGGTTTGATTTTGTTGATTGGTTAGTTGATTACCAAGGCACTCTATAATCAAACAGACCTTGGGAATCAGAGCCATTGAAATTGTGGTTTATGGAAAATGTAGGCTTAGTCTTAGAACTGAACCTTCTTAGGGCTAAGTGATATCTGACAACTAATACTACCGTACAAAGTTTTCAAAATGTGCCATCCTCCCATGACTGATTTTAGTCTATTTTCTCAGCTTGTAATAGTTTATTTTTAAATCTTAGAACCATTCTGGTGAAAATGCTGAGCCAAGCTGGGACGGGTTACTCCTTCAACACTAAGAGAAGCCGACTACGGGAGAAACTGACTCTCTTGCATTATGATCCAATTGGTAAGATTCAGAGAAATTACTCCACAATAAATTCAAGTGGTTTCAAGGCCTGTTGCCCTTTCCAGACTGACGCTCAACATGTCTTGGCAGTTTTGTGGTCCCTTTGACTCTGTAGCATTCAGTCAGCCAGTGAGTATTGAATGTTTACTATAGTGCCAGTTACTGCCCCAGGTGCTGGGATACACCAGGACACAGTCAGGCTCAGTCTCTGCACTCTTGGTACTTACAGTCCAGTTTGGAAGGGAGAGAAAGAAAGAAAAAATGATGTTCTGCTCAGTGCTTTGAGAGACACAAGCAGGATGCTGAGATAGAGCATAAAGGTGGGGAAAGGCAGATTCCACCTTTATCCTGTCCTTTAGGTAGGATAGATCTGGGAAAGAACCAGCCCACAGGTGATACTGTCCAGGAAACAGAAAGAATAGAGTGTCTTTAGATGGGGAGAGAATATTCTCCTGGGACCGTCTAACAGTGGCAAGCGGTTAGGTCCAGATTTGAATTAAAGGAGTATGGTATCTGTATATTAGTGCAGAAATAATGTAACTATATATTATTTCCATTTTGTACCCTCTGCTAAAATGCCATAATGGTAACTTTAAATGGTCTCAGTAGAGGGGCGCCTGGGTGGCTCAGTCAGTTAAACGTCTGCCTTCAGCTCAGGTCATGATCCCAGGGTCCTGGGATCGAGTTCCACTTCGGGCTCCCTGCTCAGCGGGGAGCCTGCTTCTCCCTCTGCCTGCCACTCGCCTTGCTTGTGCTGTCTCTCTTGCTAGCTCTCTCTCTGTGTCAAATAAATAAATGAAAATCTTAAAAAAAAAAAAAAGGTCTCAGTAGATAGAAGTATTTGTCCAAAAGAGATGTGTTCCCAAGGCCAGATTGCCTGCTTACAAACAAAAGACAGCAGCTGATAGCTATTGGTAGAAGCCTAATTTTGTTTTTGGATTTCATGAGCAGATTTATATAAACTAGCAAACAAATTATTTATTTTAAAACTTCAGGCCATTTGTTTCATTTTTGTGCCCTTGATTCTGAACAGCCTCTTGATAATTGCTTCTTAATAAGAGCTGGAGCTTCTGGGTTGGTGACAGTGTAGTGACTGTGGGAGAGTGACCTGCTGGGAGAGGGCGTAGAGGCTGTGCGCCCCTTCCCCATACCTGCCCTATGCGTCACTTCCATCTGGCTGCTCCTCAGTTACTAATAGCTGGTAGCTGGTATCAGGATTTTTCTTCTTCTTCTTCTTTTTTTTTTTCTAATTGTGTTATGTTATTTTTAAGTATAAAGACTATCAGTCACATCACCTACAGACCATGTTACCTACTGCTCTGGCTGCCAGTCTCTTGTCTGTCTCCTAAGCAATGGTGAGGCAGATACCCTTTCCACGGGGAAGAGAAATGATGGTTTGTTGCCTTTGCCAATAACAAAAATGTTGGAGAGCCCGTGGCAAAGCTCTTGTATTGGCATCTTTCATGTGAACTACATCAGAAGAACCAGGGTGTCTATCTCTGTGATCACACCAGTTCTTCCCAGGTTAGCACCTCCGGTCACCATACACAGATTACCAGTGTCTAACTTGATGACATCAGTCATCTTTCCAGTCTCCAAATCAGTCTGAATGGTGTCCTTCACCTTGAGGGGATCAGGATAGCAGATGGTGTGAGCATCATGGGTCACCAGGTGAGGGATTCCTTTTGTCCCCACAAAGATCTTCATTTTGCATAGCTTCTACTTGGCCTCCTCAGGTGTACTATGATGAACAGCAGTGTGACTCTGTGTCCTACATCAGACGGAAATTCTCCCCAGTCTTGTCAGTGCTGATGACATCCATAAAATCAACTGGGTAGATTATATCAGTTCGGACCTTGCCATCAGTCTTACTAAAACACTGCATATAGATCTTCTTGACTTTATCTCCTGTTAGGGTATGCTTAAGTCTGTTCCTTAGGAAAATGATGAGAGGGAGACATTCTCTGTTTATGGGGACCAGTAGATGGATGAGGAGCAAACACACCAGTCGGTTTATCCAGCATCCAGTGCTTTGGAGCCGTCACATGCTTCAGATACTTCTTGGGACCACAAGCCATGGCTGTGCTAGGGACAAAAAGAGAGCACAATTGAGTTGAATTATTGGGTGAACACACCCAACTGGTGATCAGAATTGAATTGGTACCGGAATCCTATTTCCCAAAATTATTCCATTATATAATGAAATACAGATACCTAACCTCATAATCAGCTTTTTTATTAACTAAGAATAAGGACTCATAGACTTTTATTTCTGGCCATGATGGAATAATAGGAACCGAATCTCCCTTCTCCCTGGAAACAACAAAAGGACAGTGTAGGCAATAAAAGTGACCCTGAAAGAAAGGAGACAAGCTAGTGTTTGTGAATAATTAGACAAAATGGGAAATTCTGTCTTGTTTGCTTACCTACACAAGCCTCGTATCTTCAGATGTTATGAGCACAAGCACCTGTACTCTCCAGGCAGTCTCTTTATAGATGAGGAATCTGATGCCAAGGATCTTAGTCACGGACACACCGCTAAAATGTGTTACAAAGATTTGAACTCGAGACTGTCAGACTCCAGTGCCCGGGCCCTAAACCACTCTATGTAGGGACCTATTAATGAGAGGTTTCACAGGAGGCTAAAACCTACCTACCAGTGCATGACTTCTGGGCAGGCTATTAGTGCAAATCCTGGCTAACAGCTACATTCATAGCTGCCTTCAGAGCTGGTACAGAAGGTCTCACAACCACTGTTGAACCATTCATTATGCTGCATTCATCAATGGCTAAGAAAAATATCACCTTCAAAAAAAAAAAAAGGTCTGTACCAGTGTGAGGAGGCATATTAAAATGGCTCTGAGAAGCCCAGTTATAAAATTGGATAGTTTCCATTATTTTTTTTTTTTTTTTAAGATTTTATTTATTTATTTGACAGAGACAGCGAGAGAGGGAACACCAGCAGGGGGAGTGGGGGAGGGAGAAGTGGGCCTCCCCCCAAGGAGGGAGCCCGATGCGGGGCTCGATCCCAGGACCCTGGGATCATGACCCGAGCCGAAGGCAGACGCTTAACGACTGTGCCACCCAGGCGCCCGGATAGTTTCCATTCTTTAACAAGAATAAAATTCCCTGCTGTTTTTATGGTGTTAAAATTTCTGGTCATTCTTTATCATAATATAAAAGGAATTCTAGGTTTGTACCTGATGATTGGGAGTCTGAATTTCAGGATGATACCTCATATGGTAGAAAAATTATTAGAATGATAGGGTATGTGTCTTAGTCCTTTTGGGTTTCTATAACCAAATACCACAGACTAGGTGGCTTATAAACAACAAATTTATTTCTGAGTTCTGGGGCCTGGGAAGTCCTAAGACCAAGGTGCCAGCATGGTTGCTTTCTCGGGAAGGCCCTCCTGGTTCGTAGCCTGTGTCTTCTTGTGTCCTCACATAGTGGAAGGGCAAGCAAGCTTGTGGGGTCTTTTATAATGCATTAATCCCGTTCATGAACACACCCTCATGACCAAGGCACCTCCCAGAGGCCCCACCTCTAATACCATTGTGTTTGGGGGTTAGGATTTCAACATATGAATTTGGGGCGGGGGGGCACAAATTTTCAGACCATAGCAATATGATACTGAGTTGGTGTGATACTTTTCTCCCTCTGATTTCTTTGTATCAGCTGGTGAAAACTCAAAGTGATGAATTTTAAAGTAATTGTTTTTCTAGCATTTAGCTCCTTTAGAGTTTATTTTTAGGAACTTGTACAACATTAATGTTACTTGAATGACTTTTTATATTTTCAGTATGAAAATGTATCAGGATTTTCATCCTTAGTATAGAAGTGTTAGGAACTTATTATTTGTCAGATTGATTTTAAGTTTTGAGTTTGGGAAGGAACACAACCATGAACAATTCTGATCCTAATTGAAAGTGGGAGAGAAGACTCATATATAAATTTCAAACAGACTGCTAGAACTTTTCTGATAAGGAATGGTCTAAGCCTTGACAGCACAACTTTGTCTTTTCTGAAGAAGAGAATGTTCTGGGATAGTGGACTCTCTGGCTTTCTGCCCACCTACTGAATGCCCCGCAGACTAGCATGATGATAATCGCCATGGGGCCTGCCCCATTGCTGAAGGTACCAAATAGCTTGGCAGTCCTCCCAGCAGATGTTACTGCAGTGAGTAAATGATTAGTTTAAGGGTAATGTTTTGTTAGTCTGCTTTTAAAGGAAATCAGGTAAGGACACAGAAAAGTTCCCAATTGTTTGAGCATTCATAGTAAACTCTGGCTAGAACCAGCCTCTGTCTTTTCAAACTCCTTTTCCTCATAAAGAACTAGATGCTAATTTCCAAGGAGGAAGGATTAAAGGCTGAGGCATAAGCTTATTAAACTTTGCTAAATGTATGAAGGCTTATAAAGAAAATGAAAACTTGTCAGTTTTGATTCCTTGGATGACTAAACAAGACAATATAGACTTTAATTGAAGCAGAATAGACTTAGGTTAGATGTAAGGAAAGAACTTGACAGATTCATTCTTCTATGAATTAGGCAGCAAATATTTTGACAGAAAATTAATTTATGTTTATGATTATGGATAGCAGTATGTCATTTCAATTCAACTGTATATCCGGCAACAACCCTGTGAGGGAGATGGAGTTACCCCCCTCCTAGGGAAGCAAACTGAAGGCAGAACATTTTGAGAAATTTGCCCAAGGACTCACTGCAGATATAAATGGTAGAGCCAGGGTTTAAACCCAATCTTTTCAACTTCAGGCTCCCTATTTTTTCTATGACTTGGAGCCAAATTAATCTTCTGATTATTACTGTTTTTTTTAATTGGGGAGTACTATAAGGCATTATAGGAACCGTGAAAACCTTACTGCCTGGCATCCAGTCTCTGATCTTTCATCCAGGCAATTAGTACTTTTTTAAAGATTTTATTTTTATTTACACACACGCACATTAGTTGGGGGAGTGGTAGAGGGGAGGGGATAGGGAGAGAGAATCTTGAATGGACTCTGGGCTGAGCATGGAGCCCAAAGCGGGGCTCGATCTCTGACCCTGAGATCATGACCTGAGCTGAAACCCAAGAGCTGAATGCTCAACTGACGGAGCCACCCAGGCGCCCCAGGCAATTAGTACTTTTGGTTTTGTTTCAGAGAGCTGTACTGTTATGTTATTTTCAATAATGAAATTTTGGTTATAATTTTCATTCTATTACCATACTAGAAAATCCATTATTTGGGTATTAAGCTATCTCTGGAAAGTACACGATTTGATGTGTATTTACTCCTCTAGCCAGATGGCTTTTTCTTGTCTGCTCAGTTCTTGTTGCTTTTTTCTCTGGAGTCCAGCTCTCAGTCTGGTCTTGCTCATCTCCTGCAAGAATGTTCATTAACTGGGTGAAGGCATTGAGTGTTTTCCATGTTATGTTCCTAGTTTTGTTTTTTGATTTGGATATTTCGTATTGGGGGAGAAATAACCTTGTGGGGTACCAAAGATGCCACTGATCAGCTGGTGAGCCTTCCCTTGATTACCTTCCCATTTTCTCTAGGTTTCTCTGGCCTCTGGGATCGAGGAACTGAGTTTGCCAGTCTGTTCCATTCCCATGTCAGAGGAATAGTAAAAGGAGAGAAAGGAGAGTGCTTGTGGTCTGATACGTATTTTTATTTAAAAACGGTAATGAAACTTTTAGTTTTCTGCTACAACCCATTTTTCTCTTACAGTGAAAGCAAAAGTCCTCTTTGTGGAACAGAAGAAAATACGTTCCCTCTAAACAATGGATTGAAAACGAATTTGATTTATAAATGAGAATACTGAGGGTGGGATACTGATTCAGAAATTCTGCAGCGTGTAATAAAAGAAGAGGAAATGGCACGGAATCACTGCCTCCTGTGATTTGAGGCCATTGTGAAGAAAAACAATGTACTGAAAGAAAGTTCTTCATATTAGGACATATATCATTGCATCACATTTATTTATCTTTCTGGATATTTTTATAGCCCTTAATAAAAAATATTAAAATAGCCTGTGCTATTGTCTCTTGGTGATGTTTTCCCCCATTCTTTGAAATAAAAAACAACTACATTACTGAAGAATAACCATTGTTCGTATAAAAGAAAGTTTCCATAATGAAACTTGTGCAAGACTTTCCAGTCTGCTCCCCTTTGTACCTCATAGGAAAGGCAGAGTCACTCTACAGAGTGATCTTGAAAAAACTCCCATGAAATAACAGGGTAATGGTGAACAGGAATAAGGGGGCCAGCCTTGTAACACAAAAGAAACCATGAGAACTTCTGTTTTGTGCTTATATAATTAGGAAAAATGCCATTGGTCCGTATTCTCAAATTCCGGTCACTGAGTAGATACTGAAGCAGTATCTAGGAGTTTCTAGGAATGCTTTGGACTCCCTTTATCTTCTAGTTCCTTTTTTTTTTTTTTTTTTTAAAGAAGAGCTATAGTGTATTTCCATAGAGCCACGGCTAGGGCTTTTGGGGCATGGTCCCACGCAGCCAACCAGTGGAAATTCCACTAATCCCTAATGTTCAGGTGAGGTAAGACTGCCTTACCCAGATCCATATACTTTCTCACTCAAGCTATTGTTTCCTACAGATTTTCAGAAATACTCAGTTTTCTCCTTACCACATTTCTGACTGTAAGAAGGATCAGCTTTTATTTTGAGTTCTGCTGGTTCATATCCTACACCATTTAAAGCATTTATGTAGAATGATGGTGTGCCTACCATGGCCTCAAGAAGGATGAAACCAATGTTTCAAGGTAACAGGTGTTCCCTCTCCATGGCCCAGTCTGTCTATGGAGGAGGACATGCAAGCGTAGCTTTCTGAAGTTGGAATTAGATGTAGACAGTTGTTGAGTTTCGGGGGCTTGTGGCATTAGAGTCGATCAGCTATTTTCTGGCATCTGTTGTTAAAGCTTTGGTTCAAAGCAATAATAGGTGAGATCTTGGCTATTTTTCGGTTGAAACTATGCATAGTGGTTTTGGGTTACAAGAAAAAATCCTTCACCTGGTCCCAGCTAAGCCTGCTATAAAGGGTCTGTGACATAAATGAATCGCCACTGAAAAAAGCAAAACAACAACTTAAAATCTGGCTTAACAAATGACTTGTCTGTTCAGCACATGAGCTGAATGTGGCCCACAGGTGGTGTTTACATTTTTCAAAAATCAATTGCTGATACTTAAACATTGAAAAAATTTCAATAAACATCCAAACTTCTGGCTTCTCTCACAAAACAGAAGCTTTGACAACACCAACGCCAAATATCAACTGTCTCTCTTAGGAACAGCTTGAACAGTCCAATTCATGTGACCCTTCCCTTATTTAACATTCTCTGCTCGGACTCTAGACATTGTTGTCCACAAGCCCTGCCCTGTGGTGGACATACGGCATTCAGGATCTGTCGGCAAGTGAGTTTGCTGGTTCCTCATCGTGGTAATGTTTGTACAGGTACTGGTCATGGCATCCTTAATTTTGGGTGGCTCTTGCAAATACATGAAAAGTGAAGAAATCATTATTATAAAAGAGTAAAGGCTGAGGATGACTTCACAAATGAACATATTTGCAAAGAAAGGAGAAGAGGGTATTTGATAGTAAGTTGCTAGCTAAGAGAGGCCACCTCCCTCCCCCAAGTATGTTTTATTTCCAGGTACATTTATTTTAGGGTTAGTAGCAATCAAAACAGATCAAGTGGCAGGTCTTTTTTGTATGGATAAGAAGACTGTGTTCCTGCAGCCCGGACACTGACTGCCGCGATGAAATTGGATCTCTTGAGCATTTCTTCCAAGGACAGACTTGGGTAGTAAGCCAGGTAGAAGGCCAAAGCCCCCACAAAACTGTCACCAGCACCCTGTAATTGAAAGCACAGTTGTGGAGATAAGCATGTAATCACCTGGTGCCCAGACTGTATGTTAGAAATATTTAAGTACACCTTTTATTTTAGAAGAATTTTAGATTTACATAAAAAGTAAAAGGATAGTACACACGGGTTTCCATATACCCCACATCCAGCTCTGGTGATGTCTGGTAACCTCTGGTAATGAATGAAATGGTAGTGATATTAATTGAACTCCGTACTTCATTCAGATTTCACTAGTTTTGCTTAATGTCCTTTTTTTCTGTCCCAGGATCTCCTCCAGGATTCCTTATTACATTTAGTTGTCATGTCTCCTTAGACTCCTGGGGGCTGTGACAATTTCTTGGACATTCTTTGTTTTTGATGACCTTGATAGTTTTGAGGGCTGGTCAGATATTTTGTAGACTGTGCCTCAGTTGGGATCTCTTTTCCTCATAGACTGTGGTTGTGGTTTTTGGGAAGTGAAGTGTCATTCTCTCATCACATATATCAAGGGTACATCCTGTCAACAGGACTTGCCACTGATAATGTTACTCTCAATTACTCAGCTAAGGCAGTCTTTGCCAGGTTTTTCCACTGTAAAGTTACTTTCCTCCCTCTTCATACTGTACTCTTTGGAAGCAAGTCACTCAGTGTAGTCCACACTTAAGGGGTGGGGCAGAGTATTATTTGGAATTCTCCGTGGGAAATTTGTCTCCCCCGCCCCCTCATTTATTCAGTCACCTAATTATATCTGAAGGAACTCATGGGTTTTTGAAATTTTTTTAATTTATTCTTTGGGCTATAATCCAGTACTACATTATTTCATTGCTCAAATCCTTCCAGCTTTGGCCATAGGGAGCTCTTTCAGTTGGCTCCTGTATCCCTTTGACATACCCCCATTGTTTTGTTTGTTGAGTGCTTTACTTTCTGGGACATTATAAGATGCTCCAGGTTCATCTTGTATATTCTCTGCTTTAGTCCTGGAATTAACTGTTTCTCCATTAAAATGGATGCAGAATGTGGTGAGAGTTATTCAGATATTGTTTTCAAACTAACTATAGGGACACAACAGTTTCTTTCCCTTTTCTCTGAAGCTCCAACTGTCTGAGTGGGTAAAGTACATATATGGATCCATAGAAATAGAAAACACCAAAGTCTGTTGACTTCCGCCTCAGGTGGGGTAACACATGTGTTCACCTAACAAAAATCATTCTGGTATTTAATAGCTTTCAGATTCATTTTCTAGTTTTTCCCAGTTTGTTGTTCCTTACACCCAAGGATTTCATAACAGATCTTGAGGCTATACTTCAGGCTTCATGAAGAGCCTTGCCATGCAAGATTGTTCCAGTTGCAACTGAAGTATTTAAGGAGCTATATGCCCAGGACAGTGATGGGTGCTAGCAAAGGGGAGAATCCATTGTGGATTCAATGCTAAGTAGTGTGGCAGAGTTTATAAATGCTGTTGGATCCTCAGAAAGAGTTTGAAGGCAGCCTCCCTGAAGAAGGGAGTTCTTATGGATGAGGCAGATTATAGAGAAGGAAGGCCTCAAGAACAAAGACACAGGAGGAGGAAGGAACAGAGTGAGCTCATGAGACAGTGAATGGCTTTAAGGAGAATGACATTTCCCCTTGTTTACACAGATAAAGCAGTCAGTATTACACTTGCCAAGGAGTCATAGTAACGCAGGTGTGAATTCAACACTTTCCTTCCTCCCATAAATGTTTTCTAAGTGCCCAAAATGTGTCAGGCACCATGCTAGATGCTTTGCAATTGTTTATATCAGTCTTTCCTGACGGAAACAATGGAGAAAGAGAGACAGGGCTCTTGCCCTCCATTAGTTTACAGCAGAGCAATGCAACAGTGCTAATATTTGGTTTTCTTATTTACAAGGAATGGGGGCAGTATTTTTTCCTTTATGTATCTTTTATATTATTGCTTAAGCTTATTATAAGCTTATATTTTTCCAAAAAAAACATAATAAAAATATTTCATGAATAGTTAAGTCGTGTTTCTGTACCTCTCTCACCTTTAACTTGTGGCCTGACCAGTGCAAAGGCACAGGGCTGAGGGGAAACATTCTAGCATCACTGCCAGAAATCAGTTTTATATATTCCTGTTGGCTAGTGGGGTATTTAGCTGCAGACAAGATTTTTAAGAAAGTATAAAAAGCATTGTACTTATATCTGAAAGACTATTGAAATTGCTTCCCATTATAGCCAGAGCCAGGGAAACACAGTGTTTGGTGGAACTGTGTGTGCTGGAAGCATTATTTAGGCAACAGTGATTTTCACAACTTGATTTCCTTTCATTCTTAGTGCTATACACTGTGTTCGTAGAGACTGCAAGGGTGCAGAAAAAAAGAAATTCAAGAAAATAAAGACAAAACAGATCAATATTTCTCACGAACTTAGATGCAAAAACCTTAAAAAAATTTAGTAAACTCTGTGTGTGTGTGTGTGTGTGTGTGTGTGTGTGCGCGCGCGCGCGCACACGCTTCTCATTACTGATAGGGTTTATCCCAGGAATGTGAGATTAGTTTAACTTTAATTACAATTAGGGGCGCCTGGGTGGCTCAGTCGTTAAGTGTCTGCCTTCGGCTCAGGTCATGATCCCAGGGCCTGGGACCGGGCCCCGCATCAGGCTCCCTGCTCGGCGGGAAGCCTGCTTCTCCCTCTCCCACTCTCGCTGCTTCTGTTCCCTCTCTCACTGTGTCTCTCTCTGTCAAATAAATAAATAAAATCTTAAAAAAAAACTACATTTAAAACTAACATTAAAAAAATCGGGCGCCTGGGTGGCTCAGTCGCTAAGCGTCTGCCTTCGGCTCAGGTCGTGATCCCAGGGTCCTGGGATCGAGTCCCGCATCGGGCTCCCTGCTCGGCGGGAAGCCTGCTTCTCCCTCTCCCACGCTCCCTGCTTGTGTTCCCTCTCTCGCTGTCTCTCTCTCTGTTAAAAAATAAATAAAAAAATCTTAAAAAAAAAATCAATGTAGTTCACTAAATTAAAAACCTTATAATTTTAGCAGAAGCAGAAAAAGCATTTGAAAAAATTCTACATCCATTTATAATAAAAATCCAGAAAATTTGAAATAGAAGGTATAACTTGATCTTCTTGATACAGGGCATTTATTAAAAATCCACAGTTAGCATCATACTTAATGAGAAAGATTGAATGATTTTCCCTTGATACTGGAAACAAATCAAGGATGTCTGTACTCATTACTTCTATTTGACATCATACTGGATTGCTGGCCAGTGCAATAAGAAAAGGAAAAAAAAAAAGGCAAGCAAAAAGGAATAAGTAAAACTCTTAGCTGATGGCATAAAAAATCCTAAGAAATCCAGCAAAAAAGCTACTAGAAATAGTAGATTTAGCAAGGTCACAGGACACAAAGTCAATATAAAAAAATCAATTGTATTTGTGTATAGTAGCAATGAACAGTAAAAAAATCTAAATTATCAAAACATACCACTATATTAGCATAAAAATATGAAGTATTTAGGGTTAAATGAATGTGCAATATGAATGAATATGTGCAAGATTTATACACTCTTACTATGGAAAGTAAAAGAGATTAATGAAAACAAATAAATGGTGAAATAAACCATTTTCATGAATTGGGAAACTCAATATTGTTAACATGTAAATTCTTCCTAAACTGATGTATAGATTCAGTGTAATTCCAATAAAAAAATCCCAGTTAGAAATTTTTAGAAATTGGTAAACTGATTTCTAAAATTTACATGGAAATACAAAGGACCTAGAATAGATAGAACAATTTTGAAAAAGAACAAAGTTGGAGGATGTAAACTGATTTCAAGACTTACCATAAGATATAGTAATCAGACAGTGAGATACTGATGGAAAGATAGACACTGTAGATCACTTCAACAGAAAGAGAGTCTGCGAACAGACCAGCAACTTATTTTTAACAAGGTAATTCAGTGGAGGGAAGGACAGCTTTTTCAACAAATGATGAAGAAATGGATATCCATATGGAAAACATGATACTTTACACCATACACAAAAATTAACTCCAAATGGGCCATAGACCAAAATATAAGGGTTAAAACAACAAAACACCTAGAAGAAAATAGAAGAGAAAATCTTTGTAACCCTGTGTTAGGCAGATTTCTTCAAATGCACAAAACACTTAAAAAACTGATAAATTTGACTTTATCAAAATTTAAAACTTTTGTCCTTTAAAAGAATGCCAAAAGACAAGCCATGAACTGGGAGAAAATATTTGTAAAACATATATCTGATGGGGCACCTGGGTGGCTCATTCAGTTAAGTGTCTGATTTTGGTTCAGGTCATGATCTCAGAGTTCTGGGATTGAGCCCTGTGTCAGGCTCCATGCTCAGCAGGAAGTCCGCTTGTCTTCTGCCCTCTCTCTCTGCCCGCCCCCTGCTCATTCTCTCTCTCTCTCTCAAATAAATAATTAGTAAAATCTTAAACCCATATATCTGATAAAGCATTCTTAATGTTTCAATAGTGCAACCCCAAAAGACAAAAACCCCATTAAAAATAGGCAAAAGATTTGAACAGAGACTTCATCAAAGAAGACAGACAATGGCAAATAAGTATATAAAAAGATGCTCAACACCATTAAACATTAGGTAAGTGCAGATTAAAAACACACTGAGATAATCCTACATACCCATTAGGAAGGCTAAATTAAACAGGTTGAAAATACTGACTTTTGTTCCAGTGGAATAATTGAAATTCTTATCTGTTGTGGGAATGCAAAATGATACAGACACTTTGGAAAATAGTTTTGGCAGTTCCTTACATTATTCAGCAAACACTTATCATATAGCTTAGCAGTTCTCCTCTTAGGTATTAATGTAAGAGGAATGGAAACATATGCACATAAAGATTTACATGAATGTTTATAGGAGCTTTATAATCGCTCCAAGTTGGAAACAATCCAGATGTCCTTGAATGGATGAATGTGGTACATCCATAGAGTGGAACACTACTTAGCAACAGAAAGGAACAAATTGCTTATAC